CTTCTCTCGAATACACCGGAAGATTTCAACCCAGTGGGAGCGCTGGATTCGCTTTATTCCTGCTCGAGTATACCGATCTACTTCCTGAGCATGAAATCGCTTAAGAGGTCCATACACCCCAACATCAAGTGGTTGGAGTAGATGAGAGCAATGAGGCGGTAGAATAAGAAGATCGATGTCATTCTCAATGCACAGTGCAATCATATCGCCAGTAATGTGACTAGAATGGCCATCCATAATCAACATTCGCGGGTGATTTCCATCAGGCTCAAATACCTTCCGCAACCACTCAAATCCATGACTGTTTGAAGTCCAGCAGCCACTATTACTTGTTGAGAAGTGCCAGTTTGTAGGGGTGTCCTTTGGAATCCAACTTGAATTGGTATTCTTAGCCTTGAATATAATCATAGGTGGTAAAGCACCACCATCTGCATCAATGCATTCAAGTACAGTTATCCACTCCTGCTTCCCAGCTGTGACCTTCCAATTGGATTTCAAGGTAGAATCAACAATTATTCGTGTGGATTGAGTATCTCCAACTGCAAAACCTGTCTCATCCATATTATAGATGTTGCATGGCTTGTACTTTCGCTCTTCAATTCGTGCTTTAAACGCGTCAAACCAAGCTGAAATCTTTATAGGAGTAACTTCTTTATGTCGTGCAGACTCTAGTTGTCTTGAGTAGACCCCTTTAAAGTTTGGATGTCGTTTTAAGAATCTATAGATCCATTCATGGCCTATGGGGGTAGGATTGGTCCGAAGAGTGGTTTGAGAAGACGTGATTTGGACGCGTCGTACGCGAATTTCTTCAGCCATTTCCTTGATCAACATAGGAGTTGCAGGAAAACCCGTGGCAGTGAGACGTGTAATCCATCGTGCTAGTGTATTTTCTTCTGCATTTGAGAGAGCTTGTTCAATTTCGTGAGCTACAGCACGTGTTTTCTTCCCAGACATCCTATCAGCAAGAGTTGACTTAGGAACTTCGAAGTGGTCTGCAGCAAGTCTAATTAATTTGAATTCCTTCAATTGGAGCGCAATGACAGCCTTTTGGATGTTGTCTTCAATCTGAGCACGACTGTATGGTTGTGGGGTGTTCATGGTGGAAGGTATGAAGGTTCTGAGTTGGTAGTCGGGCATTTTTGTCCGACTACCCCGTATGTCCGACTACCCCATACGTTACGTTAGTAGTATTAACCAGTGTTAGTGCATATTAAGTTGAACCCTTACCGTATACGCACTAGCTACCAAAAGTAACCTATATGCAGGCCGTATAATACAATTTAGGACAAAAACTCCATCTACCCGGTACAAAGGTGAAAAAACGCCATCTACCCGGCAAGCGCTTATCCCCTTTCGGAACCTGCAACAGGCCAATGAGAGCACGTACTCTCATGTGGCCTTTTCGAAACAATTGAGCTGGCAACACTTGCCAACTCAATTGTACGGTAAGTCGGGGGTTAATTGAGACCCCCGAAGCTCCTTTCCTCCCTCTTCCCCCTTCCATCTAGAGCCCCGCTGACCCCTCCTAGGATCTCTCTCTCCCTTGCTCCTCTGACCCCTCGAAACCCCCCTCGGAAGCCCTCGCGCGAGGCACAAACTCCCGCCTCCCCGCCCCCGCCCCCGCATCTGACGATGGCCTCGCTGGCCGAACTCGCTGTCCCTGTCGACGGCAGCGAGTTCCTCGACTTAGACGCTTGGTCCCGCGCCCTAGACGACTGGGCCGTCAAGGAAAGTTCTCCTGGCGGCTCCAGAGGAGGGACAAAGACCGGGCAATGGCTGTTTGTCCCGAGGAGGGCTGTGCCTGGCGTGTCCGAGCCAGCCCTGACGACGAGCAATGGAAGCTCGTCGTCGTTGAGGGGGCACACACTTGCGTGGGGAGGGGGCAGCAGAAGTTTGCCTCCTCCTCAAAGGCAGAATGGCTGGACGGCGTGGTCTCTCGACACCTACGGGTGTCGAAGAAGACCACGCCAAGGGAGATTGTTGAGCTCCTCCGCGTTCGATTCGCGGAGGGGATTCTCTACGGTGTAATGGTGGGTGCACCAGATATGAGAATCTAGCCACCCAAGGAAGGGATGAATTTACTAAGACAACACACTGTCTTAGGAAACAGAGCCAAAGGGTTGTAGCTTAGACTATTCCACAACGCAGCAATCAGGTGTATGATGTGGTGAAGTGGTTTAGACAAGTTGCAACAAATGTTGAGTCTGAGAACTCAGGGGTAAGTCAGAGGTTAGCACCTCACTGACTTTTCAAAAACAGAGAATAACAAGATCAATGCTTGGAAGCTTGGAAAAGACGTAGAAGTATGTGCTAGTCGATTTACTGTATTTCCTGCTTGCCCTTTCTTAAGGAAAGGGCAATCCTATTTATGCCAAAGGAGTGTAGTTCTCTCATTTTCCATGACTTTCCATGACTAACCAGGCTTGGTAAATGTATTAGAAATCAAGTGCGACCCACAACTAGCTTGCTAATCATGTAGTGAACGTAAGAGAATCCCATAGAACCATCTCTTGGGTTCCTAGCCTATAGGAAGTGAAAAGGAGGTCTAAGGTTAGAGTACCTATAGATAAATTATGTCATAACTTAACCAATCTTGTGGGTAACTAAGGAGCGATGACGTGTAATGAATCATAGAGGGTTGTAGAAGCTTCTAGAGCTATCGTTCATGTTCCTAGGCCTCTAGTTGGTAGATATATGCCATGTGGTAGTATTGGCCCACCCCCTTAAGGAGGAGATTTTCTTAATAACTTGTTCAATGAGTGTTCAAATGATATGCCGTGATGTATGTAGCATAAACAGATGTAGTAGAAGAGTTTGCAGCAATCGTTGAGTAGTATTGCTTCTGTTGTTGGTGTGATAAGCCAAGATATGTATGGTGACTTGTAGGTTTGAGGAGGAGATTTCTAAGTTTGCTCTTGAGTTTGATAGCAAACTGAGTGCAACGAATGTCAGTATGACATACGGGAGGGCGCAGCAATCGTTGCTATGCCTTCTCGTAGGGGATATTGGAGCGCAGAGGCATAGCTTTCAGCTATTGCCCTCATATAAGCGCCTCCTGGAAGCATCTGCTCTAGGAGTTCATGTTGATCTCGTTCGAGATCGACACGACCGATTCCAACGGATCTTTGTGTGCCCTGCGGAGAGCAGGGCCACGTTCCAAGCCTCACGCCGGCTTGTTGCGGTGGACGGGACCTTCTTAAAGGCCCGTTTCATCCTTACTCTTCTTGTGGCCGTTGGCATTGATGCTAACGGCCACATTGTGCCACTTGCTTGGGCAGTGGCCGAGTCGGAGAACGCGGACTCTTGGGAGTGGTTTTTGAACCACCTCAAGTGGTCCCTCCCAGAGCTCGTGAGCGAGCCAAGCACCCTTGTCTCTGATAGAGACAAGGGGCTTCTTATTGCGGAGAGAACTCTCTCTCCGCAGGTGGTGATAGCTCATTGCTGTCGTCACCTCTCTGAGAATTTCTCAGAGCGGTTTGGGAGGGGCCTTCTACCCCTCTTCTGGAAGATTGCCCGGGCCACAACTGTGGCCCAATTTGACGGGCTTTTGGAGGAGCTTCGGGCTTTAAAGCCCGAAGCATCAGCATACCTTTATGGTGCCGAGCCCGAACGGTGGGCTCTGGCGAAGTTTCGTGGCCGTCGATACGGCCATGATACTTCAAATATTGCAGAGAGCTTTAATAAGCTCATCCGCACAGATCGAGAGCTCCCAATCGTGGAGCTTCTCGATGCGCTCTGGCACTGGGTGATGGCCCAGCGTGCGGAGCGCTCTCTTTTGGCTGTGGAGGCCATTGCTAAAGGGCAATGGCCTCCTCTCCTCACTAGGTTGGTGGAGGAGGGGAGGAACTGGGCCCATGGCAATGGGCTCCAGATATCCTCCCTAACAGAGGCACGGGTAGTCCAGCCAAATGGCAGGATCTACCTCGTTGACCTGACGGCAAGAACTTGTTCTTGCCGTCGATACCAAGAGAATGGCGTGCCTTGTGGGCACGCCATGACTCTTATATTTCGACAAGGGAGTCAATTGACTCCCTTTCTTCCGACAGAGCTGTCTGCCGCGTGCTGGCAGAGGCAGTATCAACTGCCTCTGCCTCCTGTCTCTGTCGAGGGTCTTTCGATAGACCCTGACGCCTTAGGAGGAATCTGTGACCCCCCAGTCACCCGAATCCCCCGAGGCCGTCCCCGAAAAGAGAGGGTTTGGAGGGAAGATGCCCGGCGTCCTCGAGGACGCCAGGAACGACGGGATCATGGAGGACTTCTGCCGCTTGGGGCAGTCGTTGCCGCCGTGCCGGACTTGGTCCGTACACGCTGCGGCACCTGCGGCGAGCCTGGGCACAATGCCAGGACTTGCCGCAGGCCTCACAATTGACCTGTTCTCATATGAGAACAGGTCAGTTTACAGGGGGGGTTACGGGGGGAGTTATGGGGGGTTTACGGCCTGTTCTCATATGAGAACAGGGGGATTTACGGGTGGATTGGGTGGGGGATGGTCACGTGGTAATCGACCGGGTAGATAGAGTTTATTTGGGTTTTTACCGGGTAGATGGAGTTTTTGCCCTACAATTTAATACACTGTTTCAGCTCCTACATTAGCGCTTACACTTAATATCTCAAGAATTAATGCATAGATTATTCCTAGATAATTAGGTACGAATTTAACGAAGTATAAAAAGCTAGAAACATACTTTTAATATATATTATTAAGCTGTTGTTGAGTTATTACCTTGCAAATTTCTCAATTTTAGGTGAGAAATTCAATGTCCGACTCGCTTGTGAAATACGTTATAGAAGTGCTGGTAATTCCACCATTGTGTTAATTGTTCAACCCTCAGATGCCCCCCTGAACTGAGTATAGCATAACTATGTTTGGTAGGATTGGAAGTCTATACACCACATCTTAATATTGCACATACATATAATCCAAACACTACCCAAATCGTTTCAGTAACCGAATAAATAGAGCCTTCAACGTCAAATAGACGACACATCAGTCATGATGAAGGTCTCAAACATTTCCATCCTGATTGTATACGTATTATGCGACTGATTTTACACTATCATACATTCTTTATCATTCCTCGCTCAAAAAAGACCAATCTGCTTCCCCACCATGTCCGCTATCCTTCCAAACGCCTTCGCACGATCGCTATCTGGCTCACTAACTACTGTGGGCTTTCCCCGATCCGCATCATCACAAATGCTAGCATGCAAAGGAACATCGCCTAGAAACTCAATACCGTGCTTTGCGCAGGTGTTCTCAACGCCAATGCCATGGCTTGAATTCTCACCGCCACCAAAGATATGAGTGCCTTCCAGACAATGCGGGCAGATGAAGAGAGACATGTTCTGGACCATGCCCAGAATAGGGATATTAGTTTTCTGAAACATGCCGATGCCCTTGATGGCGTCTTTCAAAGCTATGTCTTGCGGCGTTGAAATAATAATCGCGCCGTCAAGCTCGATTTGCTGTGTGATGGTGAGTTGCGTGTCCCCAGTTCCTGGAGGGAGATCAAGGACGAGGACATCGAGTCCGCCCCAGTCAACCTCGTGGAGAAGCTGTTGGAGGGCTTTCATAACCATCAGTCCCCGCCAGACAACGGGGGCGTCTTGGCCAACGAGGTAGCCCATAGACATTGATTTAAGGCCATAGTTTGAAAGAGGAAGGAGTTGGTTATCTAGTAATCGTTAGACTTTTTCTTCTTTACCAGTTAAATTTTTGGCATTCATACTTGAAGACAGGCGTGGCTCGCCAAAGAGATTGAGAAGAGTGGGTATCGAGGGCCCAAAGATATCCGTATCCAGAATGCCACTGCGAAGGCCGCTGCGAGCAAATGAAAGCGCAAGGTTTACTAATCTGCAATCAAAATTTGACACCTTATTTAAAAAGCGTAGTTTAAAAAATACCTGCAATGGTGGACTTGCCAACACCACCTTTGGCTGAGGAAACAGCTATTACTTTCTTCACGTCTTTGATGCGTCTCCGTTCCGGCAGCCCTCGTTGCATGCGCGGAATTGTCCCAGCCCGCGGCAATCCCTTTTTACCGAGTTAGTTGATTGTCAAAAAGCTATACTGCAATTAGATCTACATACCAAAGGATTTTCATGCCGCAAAGCCCTCAACGTCGAAAATAATCGCGGTCTCATGATTTATGCATTTCCGGGCATTGTCTCGACTTCGCCATAAACTACGGTACATGTCGTTGGTTGCGTCGGAGGTACGCGGCCGCTAGCGTTGGAAGAAGCGCCAAGATTTCGGGGTTTTGGAGGAATTTCTTGAGAACTTTTTGGCGGGAGGAGCAACGGCAAAATCGCAAAGCCAACATCGGGATGGCAAAAGGAAAGAGCAGTTCGCTTGCGAAACAGCTTGCTGAGCTGGAAGTGAAGGCTCCGAAGGGTATGCAATGCACTTAATTCCCAATGATTTGACTTCAAACTAATACAACCCAGATTTTGACCCCGAAGAAAATGAGGCACCGCTTGGGAGTGATGAGAGTGGTTCTGAGGAAGAAGATGAGAATTTGGGAACGGAGCATTATGTGAACGTTGGGTATGTGCCCCATGCTTTGTTCTTGCCTAATGTTATGGTGTACTGACAGTCTTTTTTTCTTCTAGAAAGAGCAAGCTGCGAAAGCCCGCCCAAGTCGCCCTTGGCCCTCAATACGCCGGAGCTCGAATTAGCCGCAAGGATCTACTGAACAATGATGAGGACTCAGATATCTCTGGTGATGAGGAATCCACTGAGGAACAGGATTTGGAGGATATCATTGACCCCAATACTGTTGATCTAGACGCGGAAGACTTGGATGGAGAAATCAACAGCAACGATGCTCTTGGCGAAAGCGATGAAGAGAAACTTAAGGAATTTGTCTTCTGCGGAAGTGGCAAACCCAAATATGCAGTAGGTGGCGGCCCAAGCAATGACGAGTCTGGATCCGAAAGCCAAGAAGAGTTGCTAGAGGACGGAGACGAAGACGAGGATGAGGACATGGACGAGGTCGACGATGACAATGAAGAGGTGGAAGATGACATTGACGACTCGGAAGAAGATAGTGATGAAAGTGAGGTAGGAGACGACGAGCAAGCTCGCCGTGCTGAACTACGAAAGATGATGAGTGAAGAGCAAAAAACCGTCGTTGCTACAATTTCTCAGGCCGCGAAAGCCGACGCTGAGAAGGGCAACGCTGTCAAGGCTCAACGAAAGACATTCGATTCATTGCTAAATGTCCGCATTCGCCTCCAAAAGGCTCTTGTGGCCACAAATTCTATGTCCTCTTTGGAGCAAAGCTCCGAAACTTCGACACCGTACAAGGCGGCCGAAGAAGCTGCAGTCAAGCTTCTGAACACATTGAATGCCATGCGATCTGAGCTTGACAAAACAGCAACGAACTCAAAGAAGCGCAAGCACACCGCCATCGATGCCACAACGTCCAACTCTGACATCTGGGCTGCTATCCAAGCCTCCGAGTCTCAATCTGTTCCGAAACGTCAGGCAACACTAGCAAAGTGGTCTGCCAGGGTCCGCGGCACAACTGCAGCTCCCATTTCCCGCAAGCTTAACAATGTTGCTGAGCAATCTATTGTCGACGTCCTCTCTGAGCAGCTGTCTGGTTCCAACGCAGAGCGCCTCATCAAGCGCACGAGAATGCCGCGCTCCTGCGCTCCCATTCAGGTCAAGGCCAGGATTACTGAAGATGAGAACATTTATGACGATGCGGACTTCTATCAGCTCCTCCTTAAAGAGCTGGTCGATCAACGCATGGTAGATTCGTCATCCGCCCCATCCATGGGAGCTGGTGGCCAGCCAATTGCACAGTGGGCTGCGGCTAAGGAGGCGAGGACGAAGAAGAATGTGGATACGAGGGCAAGCAAGGGACGTAAGATGAAGTTCACAGTGCACGAGAAGTTGCAGAACTTTATGGCACCGGAGGATAGGGGATTATGGGAGCCGGAGGCGATTGATAGGTTCTTCGGCACCCTTCTGGGCCAGAAAATGAATCTGGGAGAAGAGGACGAGAGCGATGACGAGGAGGCGCCTCTGGCGGAGGAAGCGTTGATGTTGTTCAGGTCGTAGATATACCGCTGCTAAGGACTGTGCTTTTATAGTATACCCAAAAGTATGTAATTATCGGATCCGCCCGATCGCCTTGCTCCCAGTCGGATAAAACGAGCTATTTTATCCTGAGGCAAAGGAGGGAGAAGATTTGATCCTTGTTGAGTTTGTAACCTAAGTGGATAGATATAGTAACTACCATTTGTTCAAGACCATTGTTTTGTGAGCGACGTAAAAACACTATTATGAATGTTTAAATAAATACCTTCATACATGTATCGCACTTCACCAGATGGCGTGAACAAAAATATTCAGATCTTCATAAGTTAAATCTGGGTGTCATTTACCATCTATAACAACCCGTTTGAGATGCCGCTCTATTACAATTTCTTGTCGTGTTCGACCCATAATTCTGACAACCCTCCGTCATTAATCATTCATCCTTTGGAAGTCTCTTCGCACTCTTGAGTTGGACTATGAGGGCTAGTTCCAAGTCTCGAATCAGTCTCAACACTGACTCCTTTGCCCAGCGGGCTCCCCTTTATGCCTCGCCGTTCTTGTTGGATCCGATCCAGAGGACGGGACGCTTTCGGTGCCGGTACATATGGCGACCCAGGCGTCGATGGAAATTCCGGAGTCGTGCCTTTTCTAGAACCCGACGGGTTCTCTTTATTCCGCAGCAACCAGTGATCTGGGGTTCCACTATTCGGAGTTGCGCTCCGAGATCTCTCCCAGCCCCTTCTTGGCAGCGGCGATTGATCGCATTCATCGAAACCAGGACCACCCCGCCTTGCTGGGCTAGACGGCTGAGACCCATATTGATAGTCTTCTCCCCTGTGTTTTATCGGGCTCTCATCATACGGATCAAATCCGACTTTCTGTCTAGCTTCAAAGCGCCTTCGGCGTCTCTCTTCAACATCTCCACCGGCGCCTGTAGTAGATGACTCTTCGAGGAAGAAGTTAAGTAATTCGTCCGGGATGGAGAGATGAGAGGCTTGCTGGAATTGTTGGAGGGCCGTGAGACGAACGAGCATCTCTAGAAGGGACAGTGAGGAGCGAACTGGCCCGAAAGGCGTAGAATACGCTTGCGGGGCATTCGGTGGGCGGGAATAGCGCCGCTTTTGTGGACTAGGACTACCGGTTGATGAGGAGCTGCCGATGTCAAGGTTCGACAAACTTCTTGTAAGATCGGGATCAGAGGGCGACTCGTGTGAGGAGCCTGGGCGAACTGAAGCGTAGGCAGAACCCCTGCCCGGTTCCTCTTCGTCATCTGAGCTTTCTTCATCATCGGACTCTACATAAACTTCGAAAGCTACCCATTCGGGGTCCAGGTTAGGAGGGAAACCCCAAACCCGTTTCTTGTGTACGTCTGTATTGGGTAGCTCATTTGGCTCCAAAACCGAGTTTTCTCGGCGAAGTTGCTCGTCAATATCTAGCTGCGATTCATCGGGATCGGTTTCGGTGTCATCATATATCGAGTCCTCTAACTGTCTTCCTTCTCCTTCCACGCTTTCGAACGGTTCATCCCACAGGTTATCACGTTCAGAGGATTCCATCATGCGCCGCGGAGGAACAGCGTTCACATCACGCTTCAAAAGAAGAACAGGGCTATTTGCTTCTCCCTCACTGCCAATATTGAGGATTTTGCCAGTGTCGGCGTAGAATATTTTCGATATCTGATGTATCGGAAAATGCTCTCTTAAACCTGCAAGGGCTACATCTTCAAATGGACCGGGTTGAGGCTCGTTTTCTTCGTAGGTATGTACTCGATTGTCATCCAGATCTTCAACGATAACGAGTCGATAGGAATACTCATTGGCTTTCCCTTCTCCGGCGATTTGAAGCTCCGACCTGTCGTCATTCTCATTACTCCCCGCGGTAGAACCATCGCCAAGGTCATTGGCGTTAGTAGAAGACCTAAAGTCGGAACGGGCGCTATCATCGTACGAACCACTCAAGGGGCTCCTCATTAATTTGACCTTTGCCTTATGTATAGTCTCTTTCCAGACCATATCTCGTATACCCCTTTCGTCATGAGGTCTATTGGAATGCCCTGCGAATAACATATACACAGAGAGTGTAAACGTTGGCCCAGCTTGTATCGGACGGCTGGGATCTAGTGAGTAACGTGTATCACATGCTGTGAGGAAAGTGCTCGCTTGAAGGAGTCTTGACGGGGACACAGAAGCAGGCAAGGTCGTGGAAAGACTGGCCCCAGATGTCGCGATTGCAAGGTTGATCAAGGGGACGGCATCTTCGATACGAGTGAGCAATCGCTTGATATCCTGAACAATGAAGCGCAATTCAGCCTTGTGGTCAGGGCCAGATTTGGATCGACCAGTTCCGCGGCGAGCCGATTCTTCAGCACTCGCAGCTTTGGCAAGACGGACCCCAAGAGACTGTATGTCCCAGCGCAACTCTTTTGTCAGAGTGACTGCAGACTCAAGTGAAGTATTGCCGCGAGCCGAGCTATTGTAAGTCAGTATGATATCGAAGTAAGGAAGATCGCCCACCAACATCAGCTCAATCATATCAATTGCTGGTGAAATAATCTGTAGTAGTTGGCAGTTAGATCATATCTTCTTAACCACCGCTTTGCAAACGCAAACATAGTTTCTTTATCACATGACTTCAATAACTCACTCTGATCTTGCTGTCAAGCCGCATCTGAAGACCTTGGAGTTCGTGAAACTCCTCGTTATTGTCGACGGTCTGCAGCCACCAATTAGTAAGGCTATATATGAGTTTGGCAGATAGGAAGCACACCTTTAAGAACCTCGAGCACTGTCCTACTGCATACCCACTTGTTATGGCGATTCCAGACCTGATTTTATTAGAACAGCAAACGGATGAAGGAAATGGGCCGTACCTGATCGCATAGTTCATCGCCTGCTGCGTGATCTATACGGATGTTAGAAACTTCATGATACTTGGAACAAGCGACTTGCTTTTCCCAGCAGATCGTCCATGGCGAATAAGTTGGCGAGTATGAACTAAGTTCACAGTTCAGGGTATGTGTACAGTGTACACCATGGATCAGCTCTTCCTTTATTCATAGTAAAAAAATCATTTATGCGTGAAGCTCGTTGGTGTTTTACGGCGGTACACCAGACAATCCCGCTGTTATTTTACAGGTGGTGGTTGTGGAGTGGTGGTGTGTCAAGTTGCTGACCTAATCAGGCCGACATGGCCGTTGTACCCATATGATTTGCTGGACACACCTCAATTTTCTGGGCTACCTGAACAGTTCACCTCGAGTTTCAACGACAAACTTGTCTCGACGCTCCGCCTACTGTTCAAAATCTCAATCTAGTGCTCAATACATAACTTGTGGAAGATATCGCATTATACCGATTTAGAGTGCTTGGCTTTAGTTGTGGATTTCGACATCTCTGCCCCTCAATTTGCATAGTGCGGGGCACAATATTTCACTTCAACGCCACTGAATATCACGATCTCGACCACAATGTCGCACCTCAACTCATGGGAAGATGACCCAGCCGCGCAGGAGGAGAACATCGCTCGCCAGGCTCAACAAATGAACCTCAACGCCGCTGCGCAAGCCAACACTTTCCGTCCCGGCGCATCGTCATTCACCCCCGGCGCACAAACTTTCCAGCCTGGCCAACAATATCCACAATACGGCGGCGGATATGATCAAGCCCAATACCAGCAGTACCAAAACCAAAGCCAAGGCTACGGCCAGCAGCAGCAGTATGGCGGACAGCAAGCCTATGGGCAGTACGGCCAAGGTGGCTACGGGGGTGGTTATAACCAAGGGGGTTCGCAAACATACGGTGAGTTTGTCACTTAAATGGAGGCTATTTTGGGGTTTTATACTTACAAATATAAAGGACAACAGAACTCTGGCTACGGCCGGGAGCAACAAGCCACCCAGGCGGCTTTCGTTCCATCTCAAGTCCCGACCATTGCGAAACGCTCCGACGCTCCCGCAGGTACAGCTGCGGCTGGAGCATTAAACAAGCCTATTGCAACCAAGGAGGGTGGCCCCAAGGTTCTTAGCATCGGAGGTAACGCGCCAGCTCCAAAAGCCAAGGTTTTGTCGATAGGCCTCCCGGCAGTCAAGAAGGAGGAGCCAAAGAAAGAGGAGGCAGCAAAGGCTACCAAGGAAGCCACACCCGCCGCAGGAAGCAAGGCTACCGCAACGAAGGCAATCTCCAAAGCTGATGGAGCTGCTACTGGAAAGACTTCTCCTGCTCCATCTTCTGGACGCTCGAGCCCTAGCGCCGCTGTCGCTGAGAAGCAAGCAAAGAGGGAGGCTGATGCTGTGGAGAAAGAGCAGCTTGCTGATGTCGACCAAGAGACATTGAAGGAAATTTACGGAAAGGAGCACGTAAACATCATCTTCATCGGCCACGTTGATGCTGGAAAATCGACCCTTGGTGGAAGCATTCTATATGCTACTGGTATGGTTGACGAGCGAACGATGGAGAAGAATAAGAAGGAGGCGAAGGAAATGGGTCGTGAGACTTGGTATCTGTCGTGGGCCTTGGATCTGACCAAGGAAGAACGTTCCAAGGGAAAGACTGTAGAGGTAGGCCGTGGTTATTTTGAGACCGACAAGCGCCGCTACAGTATCTTGGATGCTCCCGGTCACAAGACATATGTTCCTCACATGATTGGAGGTGCCTCCCAAGCGGATGTAGGCATTTTGGTTATTTCTGCACGTAAGGGAGAGTATGAAACAGGTTTCGAAAAGGGCGGACAGACAAGAGAGCATGCTATGCTTGCCAAGACTCAGGGTGTGAACAAGTTGATTGTTGTTATCAACAAGATGGACGACCCAACTGTGGCCTGGTCAAAGGAGCGCTACACCGAGTGTACGACAAAGCTCGCAGCTTTCCTCAAGGGAACTGGATACAATTTGAAGACTGATGTCTTTTTCATGCCTATTGCGGCTCAGATTACGGCTGGTATTAAAGATCGCGTCCCTAAGGACCTGTGCTCATGGTACGATGGGCCGTCTCTTCTTGAGTACCTGGACAACATGTCCGCATTAGAGCGCAAGCTTAACGCTCCTTTCATGATGCCTATCAACGGTAAATATCGTGAAATGGGAACCATTGTCGAAGGAAAAATCGAAGCTGGTGTTATCAAGAAGGGGGCGTCGCTTGTCATCATGCCTAACCGCAACAACGTTGAAGTCGCGGCCCTTTATGGTGAGACTGAAGACGAAACCCAAATCGCCCAGTCAGGAGACCAGATTCGCGTCCGCCTGCGCGGCGTCGAAGAGGAAGACGTGCTTCCTGGCTTTGTGCTGTGCTCGCCAAAGCGTCTCGTTCACTGCGTCACTGCCTTCGAGGCCCAGATCCGCATCCTTGACCTCAAGAGCATTCTTTCTGCGGGATTCAACTGCGTGATGCACGTCCATTCGGCAATCGAGGAGGTCACCTTTGCGGCCCTGCTGCACAAGCTCCAGAAGGGCACTGGGCGCAAATCAAAGGTACCACCGTCGCATGCTAAGAAGGGAGAGAGCATTATCGCGCGTATGGAGATCATTGGAGGCGCAGGGGCCGTCTGTGTGGAGAGGTTCGAGGATTACCCTCAGTTGGGCCGTTTTACTTTGAGAGATCAGGTATGTTCATTCTACTCACAAGATGCCGATCTTAAAACTAACCAGCCATTAGGGTCAAACAATTGCCATCGGCAAGATCACGAAGCTCATTACGGACCAGTCAACAACAGCCTAAGTATAACGTAATTTTTTTACGACCTAGACTATTGACGGCCTGCCGGGAAAATGGGAGAGGCAGAGGGGCACAGGTTGGAGAACTGTAGCTTCATGAAAGGGATTATGCATATATGATAGATTAAAAGCAAGTTACAGTACACATATTTTGTAGGTCACGAGTGTACAAATGTGACTGCGTTTTAACGTCTGTTGGCCGAGTGCAGCGAATTCAAAGAACGGATCCCATCTAGTAACTATGTCCTACTGCGCACTAGATCTACTATCATAATAAACCGGTGAAAAGTTTAAATGGCCAAGATTGCTCGTAGGAGTCTTAATATTTTTTATATCAGAAACACGTCTCGAAATCACTCCACACTTGTGTCCCACGTTATTTCTCACCGCCCTCCCAAATTGGGTTTATTGCCGCCTCATGTGGAACATTCACGCGTGTAAGTGACCACAGCTTCACTGACAATGTCTGTGTAAGACGCGCAGTACGAGCTGTAATAGATGGATGGGGACTGGGATGAGGTATGGATGTCTTTTGATGATGTTTCTCCTTGCACTCCTCTGGATTGCCGACACCGTCTTTGTCGACCCATTCAAAGCGCGTCCTCAACAACCCCGCCGGGGCGCATGCGGCTCCATTGACGGCTTCGACTTTCTCCCTTCGAACGGATAGCTAATATTATCTGATATAGGTTGCGCGCCTTGCGCTCCCTCCGCCGGGTCGCCATGCCGTGCCTACGCCAGTTGCGACTATGGCGTTCGACACCATGCAAGAGCTGTTCTGGGTCGGCAACGATTACGTATGATTCAGTCCTCCCGCAATCTATTGAAGTTAACTCATGGGATGGTATAGGGCCGAGTCACCTCATTTTATAGCCCCGAGCTACAGAAACACACATCCTTCCGAGCGCACCCTTCTGGCGATGGGCCGGTGAGGCAGTTGCTCTTTCATGACAAGGGCGTTATAGCTCTCGGGACGAAGAGTGTCCATATGGCCACAAGGCGTGGCCTTCCATTGTGGTATATAGTGTATGGGTGCCTTCTACCAATATACTTTGGACGAGTTGCTGACCTGGGATATGTAGCCATGACAGTATGAAAGATCTGCGCTGCATGAGTTTTACTTCGAAAGGCACCAACGAAATCATTGTTGCTGGCCTCCAAGACCAGATGTTTGTTATAGATGTCAACAAAGGGGAAATAACAAAAGAGGTATGTATCTTTTTGCCCATACAAGGAATGACTCTGACGGCTTAGATCCCAACCCCTGATCAATATACGATTATGAAGCGGAGCCGCTATATCTGCGCCGCGACTACGAAAGGAGCGGTAAACATCCTCGACCCAATTAGTTTCAACATCGTCAAAACTTGGAACGCCCACACGTCGATGATCAGCGATTTAGATGCGCAGCATGACTTTATTGTTACATGCGGTTACTCGCTCCGCCAGGGCCAGTCGTATATGCTAGACCCGCTTGTCGGTGTGTTCGACCTCAAAAACCTCGTCTCCCTTCCACCCATACCCTTTCCAGCCGGGGCAGCCTACGTCCGCATGCATCCAAGGATGTCGACTACAAGCATCGTCGTGTCGCAACTGGGCCAAATGCACATAGTAGACCTGATGAACGTGAATACTAGTAATGTTCGTCAGGCTAATATACTGACCTACTTAACAATGATAGAGATTGCACCTTCAGGCGAAGCAATTGCTTTGTCTGATGCAGAATGCAATGTGCACCTTTGGGGCTCGCCTTCACGGATTCGCTTTGCTGAGCTCAGCAATCCTGTTGAATTTGCGGATCCGGAAGAGGAGCATTCACGTATGGATTGGGACACAGTGACGTGAGTCGTCCGCCCTAACTGTGCATACATATAACTGATATTTCCCTGGTGCAGGCCTATTAACACTATCGGAATGCCATATTATAGGGAGCAGCTTCTATCTGCTTGGCCCACACATATCATATCTGATGTGGGAGCACCTCCGTCAAAGATTGATCCACAGTTCCTTACAGGCCTCACACCTATCGACTGGGGAGCATACGGCCGCAACACCAAAACCACAAGACGGAACCAAATCGGCGATACCCGCACCCCAGATAAGTCTACTGCCAGCCTCCAAGCACCAAAATTCTTGAGCGAGAAAGCTCGTGAATCTGCAAACTCCAACACGATGGACCGTCGGATCAGTGATGTTGCAGATGCACTTGGTGCAGCCGAACTTTCGAGTTTGAAAGCAGATGTTCCTGTCATGTATCGTAATGTGGAGATCAAGTATAGTAAATTCGGCGTTGACGACTTTGACTTCGGGTAAGTTTGCACATCATCCTGTTCGGCCTCACGGATACTTACAACAACTAGATTCTATAACAAGACCAAATACTCTGGTCTTGAGATCCACATATCAAATTCTTATGCCAACCCCATTTTGCAAGTATTGCATTTTACGCCGCTGATCAGAAATATAACCCTGCAACACACCGCGACGTCCTGCGCCAACCCGACCTGTCTCCTATGCGAGATGGGCTTCCTGTTCGACATGCTCGAAAAAGCAGAGGGGTCTATATGCCAGGCGACAAACCTCCTTAAAGTTCTCAGTAACCACCCCGAAGCCGCCCGCTTAGCCTTATTGGAAGAGGATTCTCCAGGCGCCTCTTTAACCACCATGCTCCAGGGCCTAAATCGCTTCCTCCTCGACCGCATGACACAAGACTACAAGAGCATCGCGCCGCATTCCGACGCATTCGGCCAGCTCCTGGCCACGCCTGCGACTACAGCGATCCGCTGCATGAACTGCCGCAGCGAACACACGCGCCCCGGCACGACCTTTGTGAATGAGCTCATCTACCCCCTCCCCAAATCCGCAGGGCGCAACTTACGTCCGCCCAAAGTCTCCTTTTCGCAGGTCCTTAAGTCGAGCATCGAGCGCGAGACGACGAGCCGTGGTTGGTGTAGCCGCTGCCAGCGCTATCAGTCGCTCGCGACGCGTAGGACGATCCACAACGTGCCGCCTGTGTTGATTCTGAATGCAGCCATCCTGAGCCCGGAGGCGAAGCAGTTATGGGGAACGCCGGGATGGCTTCCGGATGAGATCGGTGTTATTATCGAGCAAGGCCAGTTCTTCTGTTATGAAGGCGAGGATCTGAAGTTGCACTTACAGAGGGGCATGCACAATATTACAGTGTACTCCCTGATTGGCGTCGCCGCCGATGTGGATAGTGGACAGCACCAGAAGTCGCATCTCGTATCTGTCGTGAATGGTAAGTTTGTTTCCAGTGGCCTGAGTTCTTTTTACTAACACAAACAGTGGCACACTCAATGCCCACCGCACCCGGCGAACATGGCTGGCACCTCTTCAACGACTTCCTCGTCCGCCCCACCAAGCGCGAGGAAGCCCTCTCCTTCAACCCCGCCTGGAAACTCCCCTCCGTCCTCACCTTCCAAATCAAATCCGCAAATAACCTCATCGACGACTCCTGGAAAAAGAACCTCGACACCTCCCTCCTCTACCAAGAGTCGGGCCCCAACCCCTCCGCCCCGTGCTCCCACACCCCCCTAAACCCCTTAACGGAACGCCCCACGCACGGCACCATCTTAGCCCTTGACACGGAATTCGTTTCTACTCGCCAGCCTGAGATCGAAATCAACAGCGATGGCGACCGCGCCACTATCCGGCCTATCGTATACGCCCTCGCCCGGGTGTCTGTCGTGCGAGGTCCTGCCCCGGCAACTGCTCTCGACGCCTCGCTGCCGCCTGCGACGCCGCTGATTGATGATTATATCGCGAGCCGCGAGCCGATTGTGGATTATTTGACTAGCTATTCCGGAATCCAGGCCGGGGACCTCGATCCACGGACGAGTCCGCATAGTCTTGTGAGTCTGAAGACTGCTTATAAGCGTCTCTGGATCCTCGTCAATCTTTCCGTCACATTCCTCGGTCACGGCCTAAAACAAGATTTCCGCGTCGTGAACATCCAAGTGCCCAAAGCGCAGGTGATTGACACAGCAGAACTCTTCTTCGTCGCTGCTCGCTTGCGAAAGTTGAGCCTGGCGTTCTTGGCATGGGTGCTGCTGAAAGAGGATATCCAGGTGGTGGTACACGACAGTATTGAAGATGCGCGCACGGCGTTACGGCTGTGGGGAAAGTGGAGGGAGTTTGTAGAAGCGGGCGTGCTAGAGGAGATATTGGCGGATGTGTATCGTGTGGGGAGAGAATGCGGATTTAGACCGCCTGGGAGGGGAGGCGACGTAGGGACGCCTTCGAAGAATGGTGGTACTGGGGCGGGGACGCCGATGATGGGGACGCCGGCGAAAAATGGGGGGGTGGGGATGGGAATGGGGACGCCGCTTAGGAATGGGGGTTTTGGGACGGGGATGGGGACTCCGAGTGGGATGGGAACTCCTAGTAGGGGATTGTGATGTTTTTAGACTGAAGACGGGGACGAAACGGGTTTGAAACGGGGTGATTGAAAGAATATCTTGAAATATATATGCAACTTTTCGTGATGAATCTTGGCTCGGTGACTCCGCTTGAAGTGGCGTGGATAAAGCAACAATGCTGATCTATAGTGAAAGGGAAGTGACGAAAAGATCACAGGTTTTTCGCCTGAAACGACGCGAACAGAGTGACACCAAGAAGCTACAATGGACGTCTCTATAGCCAAATATCTTTACCACAATGGCCCTTTGGCCTGCCCTAGAGCTCAGTAAGCAGTATCGCAACCACCGATGCCGCTAATAATGAAGTAGACAAACATTGCGGCAGTGCCTCTAGTGAGGTACTTTTTAAGGGATTGCTATGCCGTCGCCCTTTTCTTACTCCCACAAAAGTTGTCATTTGCTTGCAAGAATGAAAGCTAACTACTTCTATTCCCTTAAAAATACACCGTAGCCTACTTCTGCAACTACAACAATCACCCGCAGTCCTGCTATGTCAGTGGGCGCCAGTCGATGTCCTGGTCCATTACCGCCGTCTGCGGCCTCTATGGCACGGGGTGCACCTACAACTATTTTCTCAAATTGACAAATTGCTTACAACTTTTTCCCCTAGACCCTAAGGGCTCTACTTCCAGTCAATTACGCATTATAACTCCCATCTACATCCATTCCTGCTCGTTCGGGCCCTGTATGAAATCAAGACATCTGTTGCGGCAGCTAACAAGTCTACTTGTCGTAGACGTCTAGCTCGCATAAGTTGGTACGCTTTGGTAAATTTGAGATTATAGAAGGGAACAAGCTTTTTATCACTTTGTACAAAGTACTCGTTTCGTGGTAAGTCCACTGGGTCATATGGGGAGAAAGAATTCGTGTGGAGGATGGCTTTCCATGCGCTAGGTATTTCATTAATGAGCCTTTTAATTGCTCGACGAGCCTCTGATGATTTTTGCGGCGAGAGGGATGGTGGGGTGATGGGTTGATTTATATCTGGATCCCAGATATCACCGAACATCGACGCCCCTGATTCCCTAAGGGTCATCTAGATGCCACTTCCCCATCTTCTTGCTCCAGCCCCTATGTGATTACCGAGGAGTATATGATACCATATCGGTGTTCGGAGTAGTTCAAGATTTGTAGAGGGGGGGGCGATCACGATTTTGCCATCAGTGATACTTTTGTTATACATTTTACGCCACCGAATCCAGACGGAGTTCAGTTCTGGCTGGACTTTATGTGTTTCTGAGATCCATTGTAGCTAGGGTTGGTCTATCGCGCTTAGGGTGAGCGTGGATGCGGAAGCACTACTAATAATGATTTCCCGGGCGAGTTTTACCTAGAGAAGCTCAGGGTGTTAACTGTGCGGGCCACAATGGATAGTACCGTGGCATTAAGAATCACACGATGCCGCCTTGGGAGAGTGGGCAGCAGGTTTGCAGATTCTGGATGGTTTTGTGTCTCTTATTGTCCCATACGAGGCGGTAGTATTCAGTTTCGAGGTCTTTCTTCGTTCGAAGGGGGACGTTTAGAAAGCGGAAGGAGAATCGAGGGAGGGACATCATAAGAGAGTTGGCAATGAGAACTCGTCCTTTGATAGATAGGTAGAATCGCAACCATCTGCTAGACACCTGCTTAAATTTCTGCAGGATGGTGTCCTAATGGTTGCGGATTTGGTCCTTAATGTCTGTTCCAACAGGAATCCCGAGATGGACGTATGGGTTCTCTAGGCTGATATGTTAGACGAGGGGTATATTTATGCGTGCGAGAAACCATTGTGGTCTTTTGATATGCTCAAGGCTACAATTTCAAGGAGACTTCTACCACAAAAACGTATCGGCCACGTTGGAATAGTCAAAAATCGAATTATTACAGCTCGAGATATAGAGAGGCAGTGAGAAAGCTAACTACCTTGTTACAGAGGTCGTAGGCGAAAGTGCGATGCTCTAGGAGCTTGTAGGAGGACACAAACTTGTCCACTATGCTAGCGAAATCGTACATAACTATGCGCTATACCTTGGCTTCCCTTTCAATGGCATCAAGTTGGCTACTAATGGCTGCTGTTGCTTCGTGACTATTAGGCGCGCTTTCACCTAAGCTAAGGCGTAGAGGAGGCACAGTGTTGGTACTGAGTGTCTCTTAGAAGTGTGGTCGAGGTTGGATGGTAATTGTGGTTCCTAGGGGCGAGTAAAAGCGCTGTCTTAGGGGCCTAGATCCGGCCGTTAGGGAGTTAAGGCCTCCATCACCACCTAGGGGTGCTCGAAACCTCATCGCTTTGGAAATCAGTCCGCAATGACCACAACTATAACAAAGCTGGCGACCTATTATGGCGCCTCCTCCACAATAAAGTACAGACAGGGAAATCACTTGACTAGCTACCAATACCACTTACCATGTGCCCTTCGTTATAACAATATGGCAACAGGTCTCAGACAGTGTTTCCAGTAGTATTGCCTGTATACGGGAGGCTCCCGTATACGGGCCCGTATTATACTTAAGTATTCATATGACCCGTATCATAACACCTCTCCGCCGCTAGTATTATACTTAAGTATTCCACGTGATCCTTTCACAATTTTCAGGTCGTCGTGAAAACTCTGCATTCTATCCTTACGTCTTATGATTCAGCCTACATCATGGCTTCTGAACCTTCTGATGTTGTATCTACTATCGAAAGTGAACAATTTAATCCGTTTGAACAGGATACTACAACCTCATCAACCATTGGCTGCTCTATTCCATCCCAATTTACCTCCCGTACTACATCAAAAGTAGCTAAGCTACGCACATCACCGATATGGGACTTTACAAAAGTAGGACGTTATGAAATAACCTTCAATATCTACGGCAAGGAGTCCTGGTGTTGCAAGTTCTGTTCTAAGGAGTATACTGTTGGTGGGGGCACTAATATCTTCATCAAGCACTTAAAGGAGCGCCATTCCATTGACTTGAAAACACCACAAGAGCAACGCATTGATGGATATCAATCCACAATAGCTGTAGCCTTTGCCAGGCCACACACAATCAATCATAAACACCGTAGACTCGACGATGTCACTGCTGTTAGGCCTTAGATCCACATGTTCTTGAAGATCTCTATGTGCGCTGGATAGTAGCATGTGGAATTGCATTCCGAATGGTTTCAATCCCCAAGTTCTGCACGTAAGTAGTATTACCTTTCACGATTTAAGGCTTTTATTAATATATATATAGCATGCTTCACTATTTAAATCCAGCCATCAATGAATGGCTGCCTCATAGCTCGACAACAATTCACGATTGGGTCCTTCGTAAATATACAGAAGAGAAGGTTATCATTCGATAGGCTGTTCAAGCTGCCCTTACAAATATACACTTTACAGTGGACTTATGGACTTCTCCAAATTCCCTTGCAATCCTCAGCATTGTCGCTCACTATATATCAGCAACTGGTAATCTAGATAACTCTGTTCTTGCACTACGAGAAGTTAATGGCCAGCATTCTGGTGAGAACCAAGCTGTGGAAATTCTTGATGTTATCAACGACTATGGCATTGCTTCAAAGTTGGTTATTTTGTAATGGACAATGCAACAAATAATGATACAATAGCTTTCGAAAAAGCTGAAAGAGGAGCATGAGATAATATGGGACCCTAGGCGACATAGATTACGGTGTAACAGTCATGTGATCAACCTCGCTGTTCAAGCCTTTCTCTTTGCAAGTGATGAGGAGGACCTCTCACAGGATAATAATACGGAGCTATTGTCATCGCCGACAGAAATAGAGATGGAGCAGTGGAGAAAGAAAGGTCCACTTGGTAAACTACATAACATTGTAGTTTATATCCAATGCAGCCCACAATCGCCAGCTTTAAGTTGATGAGCAATAACCTATGTTTGTTGAGAGATAATTCAACACGTTGGAATAGCTGGTATTCAATGCTACAATGGGCGCTACAGGTACAACATGCTATAGAACTGTTCTGCATAAAATTCAAGGAGAATGAGAACGACCGCCGTAAGTACATATTTATGTCTCTTAAATTTAATTATTTACTAATATTTAAGTAGTTTCACAAGGGGACTGGCAGGACCTTCAAAATATGGCCTGTATTCTTAAGAACTTTGCAGATGCAACACTTCCTTCAGAAGGTTATGCCTCAAGCATTGATTTAACACTCCAATGTAACGCTGACTTCTAAACGATAGAAGACACAGAGGTTCTCTTGCGTAAAGGTTTACTTATCAGAGGAGGCAGGGGATCAGACACAAAGGCTTCAAGTAACACGTTACTAGTATATAACAAATACTGTATTGAGTTGAGCACGAAGCTCCTATCTAAGGAAATACTATCTACTTATATAGTGGCGTCGTGCCTAGTGGACTCCTGGGAACTCACTCGAGTCCTCGGAGTCCTGGACTCTTAGGATTCTTCTCATCATCCTGCGAGTCCGTCACCTGCCTAGTGGACTCCTGGGAACTCACTCGAGTCCTCGGAGTCCTGGACTCTTAGGACTCTTCTCATCATCCTGCGAGTCCGTCACGTGATACTTTCGGAACTACTATTCCCCGCTGCCCCTCCAGGTACCAGGGCCGGTCTCATGCGACCTCCCTCCTTCCTGTCCTGTAGTTGGCCAGCCTTCTTGTTCCGTCGTAACATCCAATCAATGGACTTCTTACTTCATGTGTTTGAAACTGCGAAGAATGATTATGCAATTGACCCGTTCCTTGGTCCTTGTTGTAATGCTGGGTGGAAGAAGTTTGATAAATACTACAGTATGACAGACAGGACTTCGGCATATACAGCGACATTAGTATTATGACCACAATGGAAGTGGACTTACTTCAAATCAGAATGGAAGGCTGATTGGGTTGCTGAAGCACGTGTCAATGTTGAGGAGCTGTGGGTTAACAAGTACAAAGCATTGGCAGTTAGTGCAGAGATCGCAGAAGTTGAAGGTGAAGATACTGAGAAGCCGCTTTCGAATGAGTTTCTTACATGGCGTACA